TTAAAAACTAAATTTTAATAATACTTAGTTCTAAGAGCTAATTTATTTAGGCCTAAGAATTAGCAAAAAATTAGAAACTAGAACCCGAGCAACGCTGGGTCTTAAGAGCTAGTTTTATAATAAGAGAGGAGGATGATATAACTTGTAAAATTTATAATGCTGTACATAATAAGAATAAATGATGATGATATTAGGCCGTACAAACTGTACAAAATTAACAGGATCAGTTTTAGTTATATTTTCGAAAAAATTTTATATATAAGAAAAAAATACTAAATTATGAAAACCATTTATTAAGTTTACATAGTCTTGGTTTATATATTTAACAAATGATTGATTAACGACATTCCAAAATATAAAATAACTTTCAAAAACTCGTATTAAAACACTTGTATTTTTTTTTAAATAGTAAAGATGCAGACATTTAGAATTTTGGAGGTAGCTACCCTGCAAAAATATCATGGTGATACACCATGTATAAATACCATATGCTATATAAGTATAATACCGTATACCATCATTCATCTTAATTTAGTGGGCGAATATAAAGATGATCTATTAATCAGTGATTCATGTTTACAAACACTTATTTACTACTAGGGCCAGACCAACTTGATTCTTCGTAACAACACAGCACATAATTTGTTGTGATAAATGATATACAATCGGCACTTCATATGTGCACTCTCTATAAGTGCACTTCATATGCGCTTTCCCTATAATGATAAGTGCTCATAATTTGATGAAATTATCGTTATATATTGAATATGCCCATAAATTAATATTCTATAAATACACTTTTACCCAAAAACGTGCATAGAAGGTTAACTGTATTGGTTTATTTCGAATTAATGCACATGAGATCCGAAATAATGCCCCCGGATAATACTAATAGAGCTACGAGTTGAGTTAATAGTAAATTTTTAGATATCTCGTCTACTTTTTTGGCCCAAATTTTTTTTTAAATTTTGCTCAAAATTAAAATTAAAATTTAATTTGACCAGAATTTAGAAAAGTTTGGGCCAAAAAAATGTTTAAATTTAATAAAAACATGTCCAGTTTAGCACTCTTACTTTTTTTAGAATTATCTGGGGCCTGCGCATCCTAATGTAGCACATAATTTGTTGCATATACAGTTGGCACTCAATATGTACTGTACACACTCTATAAGTGCACTTCACATGTACTTATTTTATAATGATAAGTGCATATATTTGATGAAATTTAATTAATTGATAATCCAAATAAAATCGGCACAAATTTACTATACATATCTGGGGTAAATTTTATCAATTTTATATATTACAATGAAAAATACACAAAAATATTAAAAAGGTAAAGTGCAAGAAAATCATCAATAACAAGTTTTTATTGCACGGGTAACTTGGTTCAGAGGCTCTAAAAATGACTAGTAATAAAAAAAATTTTTATTATCTTGTAAACAAAAAACTTTACTTTGGACTCGAGTCAGATTACTGACTATGACGAAATAGCAAATTCGCGATTGCAACAAGTAAAAGGAGTAGAAAAAAAAAAAAAAAAAAAAGTAACTACGACGATTATATTCTAAAAAGAAGAAGAAAAAAAAACGCAACGAATATATAAGAAAAAGAAACAGAATAAATATATATGCGGGTATGTATGTTTATTATGAATATGTAATTTTGTTTTCCTCCAAAGAATGCTCTGCCATTAATCGTTTCCAAGCCCTCGAAAAACCACCTATCCAGTTTGATATTGTAGAAGTTTCAGGTATGTTAGCTTCATTAATTTCACCTTCCCAGGAACACTTCAATAATTCTTGTTGCATTTCCGTTGCAGATATTTTGTTTCGCGGGCTTGCTGTTCCAGTGTGAAACATAGTCTCTAATAGATTTTTTACTTGAGGTGTAAGCCTTTTTACTGATACTCTGCTTCTTTTCTGCTTTTCTTTGAGGCATCAGCCAGCGTCAAAATTTCGGTAACTAGTATATACGAATATGAGGAATGCCAAAAAAATGAAGAGAAAGTAAGCAACGAAGCCAAGGATGGAAAAAAGAACGAGGTTAAAAAAAGAAAGAAATTAGAAAAAGCATCAAGAGTGAAAGAAAGAATAAAGTAAAAGGAATGGAGGTAAGAAAAGTGATATGAAAGAAATGGAAGGGATGAAGCAATATAAGAAAAAAGGAAAAAAATTAGAAGGAATAGAATTATAGAAAAAAAATGAAAGTGTGAAAAGAAAAGAAAAGAGGGAAGGAGGATGGAGGTGAATATAAGAAATGAATGCATGAAAAGTAGGAAAAATATATAAAGGAGCGAAAATAAAAAAAAGAATGAAAGCGTAAAAAGGAGAGAAAATAAAAATGAGAGAAATAAGAAAAAGAAGGATGAAAATAATAAAATGAACGGAATGGGAATGGGAAAAGATATAAATGTGAAATATGAATGGAATATTAGAAATAAATATGAGAAAATGTAAGTAATAAAAAATGGTAAGATGTAGGTGAAAATGTAAAAATAAATAAAATTGAATAAAATAAATAGCAAGAGGAATTAAATATGATTGTAATAAATAAATAAAAGTAATAAAAACGTAAAAAATAAGTCAAAAATTGAAAAACGAACAAAAAGGTATGAAAATGCCAGAAATAAACGAAAGAACACATGTACAAAATTATAAGGTTGAAAAAAAGTATAAGCAAGTGGAAAAGTTAAGTGAACTTAAATAAATATGCGTGAACTAAATAAAAATATAGAATATGAATAGATGCGAGAAATATGAGTAAAAGTAGACGATGAATAAAAAGTAACATAAATGAAAATGTAAGGCATGACCAAAAAGAAGAGTTGAGTTAGTAAATATGACAAAGCTCAATAAATTCACAAAAAAAATAAATAAAAAAATCAAGATAAAAAAAAAAAAAAAAACGATAACCCTTCAGACTTGGCATAAATTTCTATTTTCACTGTATTGGTCAAGTCGATTGTTTCCTGTATTATAAGCAGGCTATTTTTAGTCAACTGCTTATTGTATACGTAAAATATTGGAATTTATGTACTAGATCATCAATTTTGTTTTCACTTACTAAATCTTTATTTGACAAAGCTGATAAAATTATAACAAGTTAATATTTGAACAAAGCACCTGTTGGCATTATCATAAGCTACCAAGCACTATGATAATTCTATTTATTAATAAGGCCAGATCTACAACTCTATTATGTGTATGGGTTTCTTAATTTTTGAAAAATTAAGATAGGGATTATGTTAAACAGAGTTAAATTGATCTGGCCTAAAATAGAATTATAAAAAATTTCAAATGCTGTTTAGTACTGCTTACAGTACCCCCATAAATTAATTCCTTCAATAAAATAAAAATAGTAATGTAAGCAGCACGAAACAGTTCTACCATATAATACACAGATTAAAGATTCAACATGCAAATTTTTTATTTTGACAGGTGACATCTCAAATTAAAATTCTTGTAACCTTGAATTTCTGGCATTGGCATGGTCCAAGATTTGTTTGGATGACTGTGTGTAGTGATGGTTGGCTCTGGTTTTTTTATGGCACGTTTTTTGACAATTTTTTGTATATCTTCAGGTGTGAATTTTTTCCATGGACCAATTCCGGGTAAAGGCCTTGCATAAATATACTCTGCTTCAATTTCATTATCAGGCCAAGACCATTCGTGCCAATTTCGAATTCCCGCTATTGTTCCTAAAGCCGTATCGTTATTCCCTATATAATTAGAGATACATTTATTCTTATTATGTGTTATAAATCCAGTCCTATGAAAAAAAGGTTTACAGAAATTAAATGAACTATACGGAATATTTAGTATAATTCCGTATTATATACAGAATTATACTAAATATTCCGTATAGTTCATTTAATTTCTGTAAACTTTTTTCATAGGGCAAAAAGTTGTATATACGTTGATTTTTGTTTGGTTCTATATGAGCAACATGTGTCCTTGCTATATCTTTTATCGCCTCTTCAATATCTTCGCCAGAGTTAATATCATGACCAAATTTGACATATCTTTTAATAGCATGAGTTATCTAGGAAATTGAAGTCGTAAAATTAGAATAATGATTTTAGATCCATATCATTCCTCAGATAATTTATAATTATTTCAACAATCATTCCACAGACATGACAATTATACTGATAAATCAATTATACTGATAATTAGCGTGCTTAAAATGCTAAATCTCATATCGACGAAATATTACGAAGTGTCGGAGAAATGATATGGACCTTATGTTTTTTTTTTTTTTTTTACGAACTTGTGCATGATGAGAATCTATCAATGTTTTAGCTTCACCAGCCTTGAGGAATAGCCATTTTCTTACAGCAACATCGTACCATTCTTTCCACTTTCTCAATATTATTATCAGCTTGGTATTGTGATAATGGGGACCATTGTCTAAAACAATAGTAATCCATTTTGGCATCCGACCTAGAGTTTCAAGTACAGAGTGAAGTGAGGATGCGGTGAACCAAGCATCTTGCTTGGTATCACCGCTCCAATGATCAAATACCTGAATATCAAGTTTATTAGTTTCTGTATTTTTGGTGTATATAAGCACAGAATGTAGAGTCCATCCGCGCTTCCCAAAAAACTCAGGCTTTGTTTCTCGTGCACTTTGTGGGAGGATCCTCATTTTGTAATCTACAATAAACAAAGCCCCATCCACGTCAAGTTGAGCAAGTTCAATATTTAATTGTGCATTCAGATACATCTTTCGTGCATGATGGGCTATAAAATAAACCAGTTGATTTTGATGCTCAATTAAAGATTTATGAGACTTATCATCATCCATATTTGCCTTTAAGCCATCAAAAAAAGTAAACAAGTTGTTACAATTTTTGCAAATTTCGGGATGACCTAAATTGCAATTACTAAAAGCATGTTGAAGACAATGGCTAATGCATGGCGAGTGTAGAGCAACACCTATTGATGATACTTTAAGATTGGTAGCAAAATCTTTACGCAGATATCGCCGTAAGTTTTGAGCCATTCCTTGCATATTTTCTTATTGTTTTTAGACAACGTCTATTTCCACCATGGAAATTTATTGGTAACAGTAAATCTCTATGGTGGAAATAGCCATTCTTATATATACAAATTAAATGTAAGTACCGGATAGAAAAAAGAAAAAATCAGAACATAAATTACTTAAGCTTGATATTTTTAATTTTAGTATCAATAAATAACTCGAGCTCCTTAAAAACTTCATAACCTAACTCATTGCAAGTAGTACAAAGACCTTCAAAATTTTCTTTATACACAAATCTTCCCCCTTCCAATCGAGTCATAAAGGTTGTGCGTTGTATGCCATTAGGATATTCCTCGTGAAATTTATTCCATAAAGCTTTCTTATGGTCTTGAAGGTATAATATAGATAAACCTGTCGACTCATCTGTTTTATATAATGACATATTAACATTACTTTTAGTTGTAAAAAACAATTCGAATTGATTTAATTGCTCTATTGTTAATTTTGTGCGATAAATAACTGGCTTTGTTAAAGCTGGGGCACCATATCCGTTTATTTTTGCATGTTTTCGTGACTCTGAAATTGTATGGTGCCCAACCTATTGATATTAATTTAAAATTGTAGAATTATTATTCAAATTTATAAAACTTTTTGATATAAAAGTAAATTATAAATTAACACTTACACTCAAATTTGTTTTTAGCTCTGAATAATTAAAATTATTGGCAATTATAGATAGAATTCGCCTTTTTCCATCCCTTGTTTTCTTGTTATCTGCTAGTGCTTGATTAAAACATTGCCAAAAAATACGAGTTTTATTAGGGATGTAACTTGGAGAGCTATTTAAAAATCCTAATTTATATAATTGTTGAAATGTAGCCTGATCATTGTCATGATGCTCATTTTTCGTCTATAGTTGGTACTACATTATAAAAAAACGAAAAAAAAAAAAAAAGAATTAGTTTTTAATTTATTTTAAGAGCTCTAAACTTACCTTTGATTCTTCAGACATCCAAGGAGTAATATTATAGCACCTACTTGCACGAAGCATTGCACGCCAAGCACCTAATTCACGATTACCAAATTGGTAATTTGGAGGATACATATCTTCAAAGCTTGAATAAAGCTCAACAACATTAATTTTGCTTTCATACCAATTTAGAAACAAGCTATGCCAATTTATATCTGCAAGCGTTTTTCGTAGTCTCCATAAGAACATAATTGGGCCAATTCTTCGGTAAGCAGGTAGGAACATGATGCTGACAAATTAACGATTGTACATCAGAATTGTCGAGCCCAAAAAGTTGAACGCCAGTATATTTTTGAATATTCAGTCTCTTCCACATTTCATTTGGAGATGAACTTTCAATCTGGTTTTTAATTTTAAATTCCTTATAAACTTTGAGTGCACAAAAACCATCCTCTATTGTTGAAATGTATAAAAAATTTATTCGATTTACAGTACGCACAAGAGAAGATTTGTATTCTGGTCCGCCATTATTCCACTCAGAGTTTGAAGAAGACCCACGCCAAAGATGAAAATTTTGTATTCACCAAGCGAAAAAGATATAGGAACAAATGATATATCTAGTGATAGCTGTTCAATTATTGATTCATTTGTCCATCCAAGTACTAAATATCCGGAAAAACGTGTTTGATTATTGAAGATCTCTTTATATACCGTAGAAATTGCTGATGTCAGATCTGGTTTCATACTAGAAAAGGAACCACTTTCGCAATAAAACCTAGGCAAAAAACAATTTTCGGAGTAGTTAATAACAACTGTTATAAAAAATTCATGTTCCTTTATAATTATTTTGGTTTTTTGACCAATTCGAATGAGAAAATATATATTTTTTTGCTTATATTAGAAAGTCGCCACTAGTATCGCGAATATGCGGTATAATGAAGATTTTCGTCTAATCTCCCATTTTCTATTAGCGTAACAGGGAGTTTCGACATTTTTTTAATCTTTAAAAACCAAGTCTTTTCAGATTCGTACGTATATTATAAATCGCTAATATACTTATCCCTAAGATTTTATATATATTTATGCACAATTTGTGCTGATTTTATCCGAATCAGCAATTAAAAATAGATCATAACTAAATTTATACTATTTTTAAACTAAAATTGTTACACGAACTCTACAGCTTAAGGGATACAACTAATTTGGAGGTTGTTTAAAGCCAGGTAATTTTTTAAATTGATTACTAACAAATTTGTAATTTAAAATTCATGTGATACATATCCCTTAATTGGTAGAGATTTGCAGGCAAATTTGCCTGCATAATTACTATAAATATGTCTCTGATTTACTTTTT